GCAGGATTGTTATGGCAAATTGAATTAATGTATTGTATAAGTAGAGAAGTAAAAGTCACATGTAAGTCAGCCTGAATAAAGGCATGTGTAAAGAACATAATAATATGCTGTGTTTGGATGCACAGAAAGCATGTAATTGATTTAAATGGGAGTTTTTATAGGTTGTATTAGAGTTTTTGTTTAGCTAGGTTTTATTAATAAGATATATACTGTATCAACCCTTCTGTCTGCTGGCATATCTCATTATGAATTCATTAGTATTCATAGATGCAAAAAAGGCTCTCCAGTCTTCTCCAATTTTGTTTACTCTGTTGCTGCAACACACAAAATCGTAATCAGAATATAATTTCACCACCTACTGAATTGAAGCTATCATAACACAGTGTTTCCCCATATGCACACAAAATTCAGGTTTATTGCCAATGATCTAATCAATTTCAATACATTTCACTGGTCTGTTTACATTTCAATTCAGTAGTCCCAAGCCTATGCCCTAAATTCCGCATTCTCCTACAAACACATTTGAATTGGTACCGATTTAAAAAAGGAGAGACTCTGCAACAGACTCTGTTCCAAACTATTAATGTCAGGGACTCGGTGTCCCTCTTTTTTTAGTATCAATCTCTTTCCTGTCAAAATAATATTCTTCCAGCAGTGCCACAATACTGCTGTCTCTGTTTTTCATTAAAATATAGACTTGATTCTGTTAAGTAACATTTTTTGTAAGTTCATAAATGACCAGAGATGCAATAAACAGTTTTCAACACGCTAAATTGGGGGGGAGGAGGGATCTTTAATTGTATTGTTAGCTTTCTGAAAGTCTGTCTGAATCTACCATCTTTAGTTCTTTTACCCAACAAGCTATAAGATGTTCTGTATGCAGAATTTATTATCAAAAAGTCTTTCATTTTATTGTCCTATAATAGATACAAAATACAGAAGATGAAGAGTGGTGGAAAGCCTATTGCAGGGCACACAAACATACAGGTTTGCAGAGACTTAGAATATACATTAGCAAAAATGAAGCCATTTAATCCACATTAAGTAGGAAGTATGCCAGTTTTAACTAAAGGGCTTGATTTTATTAAGATTGAACCTTTTTTAAATAAACCAGACCCCTTTAAAAAAAAACACTTCCTTGTCTCAGTGCAAAATGCATTTCCCAATAGTCCCTCCTTTATTCTCTGGTTTGAGCTTCACTGTTGACTGTGTAGACATTCAAAGAGTTGACTTTGTCATTGTCCTTGAGTTTTTTTTTTAATACAGGAATTAGGACTCCTTGCAGTCTTCACAGTTGAAGACTAAAAGGACTTAGGTTTTTTTAGCTTTTCAGTGTGGAACATTCCTTTAAGCCTGGAATATACCTGGTCATTCATCCATAATTGCAGCACAGTGATATTTTTCATTTAATGTGGTCAACAAAATTAAATATATAATTCTAAGTGAAGAACAAAGAAAAATAAAATAGATAAAATATTATTTATGTGCATGCACAACGATGAAGCATCTTACTCGCAGCTGTTATGAGGTTTTATAAGTTCATTATTCCATTTTACATAACACTACTCATGTACAGTGTCTACTGCATGTTTAGCTATGCTTACAATTTTAACATATTGTCTAGAATACTAATGGTGACAAAATGAAATCTAAGGCTTATACAGTATGTTTATAATTATGGTAAGCCCTTGCTACATTATACACGAATTTACCTTACACAGTTTGGCATATCTGCACAAAATTTTATGTGCACCATATTACCTTGCACGACCCCCAAATTGTGACTATTCACAATGTAGAGAAGCATCCATGAGCTGCAATGCATGCTGGAGAGAGAGTTATTTTCATGAAAAGTGGGGAGATAGAGGATATGCTCTTAGCTGTTTAGTGACTGTATTAAAAGCATTATACTGTATAGACATGAGTGAAGTATTTGTACAATACAATACAAATAGGTTTCCCTTTTTTTCTCAATGATATATGTACAGTACCTCATTTGAAACCTCATGTTCGCTGCTTTGTTATTACGCTATCTACCCGGAAGAATGAAACCATTAGTGTTACCACTCAGTATTTTCTGGCAATATTAGGTGTGTATTTGTTGACTTTTATAATTTGTTGTTAACGTCATTTGGTGTCAGGACCTAATATTATTTTTACAATTAGAAATCCATTTAGTTTGTCTACAGCCAATATCATTTGTATTCATATCAGTTTCAGTAGGATCTCAGTAAATATTTAAGAAAGCCAAGGCTGAAAACTTTAGCAATGCTTCTTAGCTCTAGATGCAGTGAGTAGTTGAGACTGCAGATAAGAATTTAATGCAGAGCAAGTTCTTGTACAAAGATGAACAGTCCCGAAGGTCACCCTCACAATATTCCTACTGTGGAGTCGGTGGCACCACCTTTTACAGATCTCCTGGAGGGGGAGGCAAAAGATCACATGAGTGGTGCCTTCTTGCAGCAGATGGTACAGTATGTGTGGTATATTGTTATCTAAGATTTTGCTTTGATTTCTGCAAAAAGCATCCCAGTATTTGGACTCAATAGCATGTAATCTATGCATACCTACCATCTTTGGTTTCCAAGTGTCCAGAACTTGGCTTTAAATATATATATACACATTACCTGACATTATAACAACTTTTAGGAAACGGTAGACAAACCTCTTACCAAAAGTAGGGTCACTAATGGTGTTTTCTTGCCTGATTTTTTCCAAGCACTCTTCTTGTTCTCTCTTAATCACACAGTCTGAATGCATAGCAGATACCTGTAAGATACATATAACAATGCTTAGATATGGGACATAATAACTTCACTTCTACTTATTTTAAAAATATTTAGATATTTCATAAAATAATATGAAACATCATAATTTTACAGTTTTTTGCAACGTTGCATGGTTTTGTTTTTTCCACTTGGCTTTCTGAAACACTAACACAATACTGCACATGCATAATATGAATAACACAGTATGTAAAAAAAATTATCCATCCTCTGACAAAATAATGCTTCTTACACTTCCTTATGTTAATGGACTTTCATTCTCTAATTAAGACACAAGGTGTCAATACCAATTTTTTTTTAAATAATTTCTTATTTCTAATTTAAATAAAATTAAACTCAAATGAGTTTTAAATTTCTGGAGGAAATTGAAACAATCTCGATCAATCCAGCTACCTACTGTATATGAACATATCACACTTCTTAACTATGGGCTTGTGTGTTTTATTTTTTGCAGTTGGTATGTTGTCTCACCAGAGACAGATCTTATTGTCCTGTTCTCCGTGGCTCCCCTTTATATTTTGCTTATTTAAAGAAGACCAAAAACTTCAGCATTTCCATCAATTCGGTTAGATGGTGTGGTGTCAGCCCCCAACTGCCTTTTGAATCCCCCATGATTGTCTGAAAAGGACCCCGAAGGAGTAGGGAATCACCTTTTCTCATTTCAGCTCAAAGAGTCTCGCCTTCAATCTCTCTCTCTCCAAGCTCTTTCTGATAATGTAATCCATCCTCAGAACTCCAGTGCAGCTATGTCCCTGGGGTCCTTTAAATTTAAATAAAAGTGCTCTAAATTTCTGTGAACCACAAACCTTCCCAAATGTCTCACCTGGGATTCTATTTGTAACCTCTTCTAAGTATGTATCTTTCATTTTCCTATTTCAGAAATTCAGGACTTTTGATGCCATTCAAGCATCTTTTCAGAAGTCATATTCCATATCTTTTTGTATACTGCATCATGTTCCTGGATCACTTCTCCACAGCATAATGACTCTCATGCATTATATAAAATCTGACTCCACATACAGTCCTTATGAATTTCTCCCTATTGCTGCTACTATTTACAGTATATGCATCTTAGTAACCATCCCTTCCGACCCATTACTTATAGACAAATCAAAAGTAATTTGCCACAATTTCCGACACCACTTCCTCAATGCACTTAGCCATCTTAAGCTCCAATTGTTTTCCTGTCATTTCTTTGATTGTTGAAGTTTCCTTCCCTACTCATCAAAGAATCCCAATCACTGCGTTTTATTCTTTGAGTGCTGGTGCTCTGAAATTCTAAAGATTACATCAAATTAGATGTTCCTAAATAAGTTCAACTTTTTCTGCCATTGAGGATTCTCATACAGTATATTCTCCTTCTTCATCCTTGTATAAACATTAGTCAAGGAGCGTGTTTTGAACTTTTTTCTCTCTCTGGTTGATTTGCAAATACTACTAAAAGTACTTCCAGATCTTTCATTTCTGTTTAGAGAAAGATATTTCATCATTCATACTTTACCTCTGGTTCAATGTTATGGAGTCTATTTTTTTTTCTTTTTGGGCATTCCAAAAGTCCCATCTATAGTATGTTATTCTCCTCAGGCAGGTGAGTTACCCCAATGAAACTCTCTATTTGAATTGCTTTTTTCCATCTTAAAAATTATTTAAGATGGAGAAGTACCTGCAGTATAAGGTACTAAGGTATAAGCACCTGCAGCACTGAAGCTAGGTTTAGGAACTCTGGATATATAAATGGATGATGTTGTTACTATTGGATTACTAAATGAATGTTACTATTTGGATAGCTATTTTGAAATACATTGCTGTAATTACCCAGCCCATTTTCCTGATCACACAGTCTAATAATCAGTGTCACACATGAATACTTTATTAGTTCAAGTGTATATTTAAAATTATAGAGATTTCCAGCACCCAATATCAGACCCACAGCAGGACGCTGGCATTCTGATGTGGCAGACATGTCTACTGCTCTAGTGGACTGCTTGGCTCTTGTGCTGGAAGTGACTGAGAGATTATGGGTTAATTCAGGAGGCAGAGCTTCCTCTTTCATGCTTTGACAAAGAACACCCAACCAAAGGTAAGCTGCTCCCTTGAATTTCTGCAACTCCACCCTTGTTACCACCCATAGAAATCAGAATAAACCCATAGAAGGCATACTGCTCCGTTACATACAGTACATACCTGTACAGTTTGTGTAGACCACAACTGAAATATATAAAATAATTATTCTCCACACCACTGCCCTTACAGGTATTTTTTGTGTTGTATATATTCTTAAAAATAATTGCTTTAAACACATTTTGTAGATTCTGGGTAAATGGTTCAATGACAGTGTATTTTATGGATGGGGTGACCAGCTTGCCTTGCAGTTTACAAGAGTGTGCTGTGAAATCTCAATAGCAGCCATCTGGTTACTGTTACCCAGGCCTTATCTCTGGCCCTGTCTCTGGCTGTGATTTTGCCTCTGAATGCCAGTGAGTGGAATTATCTGCAGCTAATGAAATTTAAAAAACCAAGCATGTAAGTAAATTTTTCTGTGTTTTCTTCATTTTTTCTTTTCCTGGTCTGCTGCTAAGATGGTCAATTTAAATTGTGTAATAAAAAGTGCATAGTTTCTTTTTTTAACAGATCTACTACAAACACTGAAGGTTGTGGGATAGTACCACAATACAAACTTGCACTACATAATTATTAAAACAGCTTTTATACTGAATGAAAAGCATCAGTTGGACAGAAGATGAAGTGGACTGTTCTTAACTATACTTTTAATTATACTGTAGTTATCTCTCAAATTTAAGTGTAAGAATATAGAAACATGGATTACAATTTCAATGTAAAATACAGCAAAAATCAGTAATCTTTAAAGTTTCATTTTCACTTTGTATTTTTTACAAACTATGAATAGATGATTTAGAAATAGTGTGAGTCTGAAAACACTGAAACAAAACTACCCCAAAATGTTCAACTTGTTCTAACATCTTGTTGTTGGTTTTTTTTTTCCAAAAATGATAGGTCACTTGAGAGTTTGATATATGAATTTTTACTGTATGTGGATTAAATGGAGTAAAATGCTGTTAAAAGAAAACAAAGATTTGCAAATAATTACAACTTGCAAGAGTATAAGAATGCCATTTCATTTACTGCTTTAAAAATAAACTTTTTTTTTTCAAATAAGTTACACATCTCACTAGTTGTCAGTCTAGTAATGACAGCTCAGGAAGTAGTTATTGTTTGTTCTTAAACCTTTGCAGCTGAATTTTGTATATGCCATAGGCATAATATATAAAATAATACATTTATATTTGACAATCAGATCACAATAAACTTTTGTAATCTTTATAATTTGTGACTAAAAACTTTTATAGAATCAATAATAACATCAAATGCTTAATTAGAATTTCAAATTAGTAGTTACATCACCCACATATGTTTTTGTTAATTATATTGTGGGTGAGAAAGTACAATCAAAACCTCTATCTTTCACAACAAACTTTTGATGTAATGAATACACTATCACTTATCTGAAGTTAACATGCAGAGACTATACAGTTTGAGAAACAACAGAACTCTTGATTGACAATGGAGGTAAGATGTATTTAATGTAACCCTGATTCCCCCACCAAACAACAGTTTGTTTGAAAGGTATTATTTAAACCTGTTTTAGACATAGACATTATCGTCTAAGCCCACTCACACATTAAAATAATTAAGATGGAGTGATCTACTGTATCTCTATCAGAATTAAGCTCCAAAGAACCAAACTGGAAATTTTATATTTATCTTTACTCATGAATATGTCATTTCTTACACACACCAGTGTAGTTTTTGTAGTACAACTGGTATGAAACCCAAAGTGAATCTTATTAAAAACATTAACTGCTTAAGGACCTTTTTAAGGACCTAGGGAAAGACTTGAAATGGGACTAATGTCACATAGAACCAAGGAGTTTAACCTGGAATCTTACATTTTATCACGGTCAACTGAAAGTCAGTTAAATACATTGCTGACATTCTAATGGTATCTCAGTCTCCACTCAACCTCATAGATTAGATTTTCTGAATGCAGTTAGATATGCAAACACAACATGTCTGCCTGAAGATTGTTAGTAACTTAGGAATTATCATTAAGAAGGAGAAGTCGAGGGCAGAGTGGCACAGTAACACTAATCACATCTGAAAGCACATTAATAACACACACCCTAATACTGCCTTTATGCAGTTGTGCACTCTCTGTGTGCACATGGATTAGCTGGTGTGCTACATGTTGAAAGGAGGAGAGTACAGTTAAAACTATATTGAAGAAATAATATCCACAATAGTCCAAAAAAGAGAGCAGCATACATAATTTTCCTGAAGAAATTATTGTTGTTTATTAAATAATCAGGGTGGGCACTAACTCAATTTATATATTTATGAAAGAGCTTAGGAAATTAAAAGAAGATTTGAATTATTTTTAAAATAATCGGATTGTAAAATATTGGAAAATAGATTTATCCTACTTTGAGAGAACAAGTATCTATTGCATAGAAATTTGAGTTGAAAAATATATATTTTCTTAATTTACTGTGGTGTTTTTGCCTCTATACAGTACCTAAGGAGCATATTGTAATAATTAAGCCTAGAATGAATGAAATTCAGACAAACATGAAACGGTTTCTGTTCACATCCATGTCTTAATTAAGGACTTAATATACGTGCCTTCATAATATGTTTGCTAAGTATTATAATAAAAATATCAATTTTAATATAAAAATATCAAAACGTACTTTTCAGCCATTGTGTTTTCCAACAAGTAGAATTTGGCTTAATTTTTGGTCAAATATATAAATTGTGGGGTTTTAATGTTGGATCATTCTGAACAATAAATGAATGAAAAAGTATATCCTTTTGTGTGTTATTAGTTTTATATATTATAAATGTTATATAGTACAGATCTCTAAGCATCAATTGTATTAGAAAATTATGCTGAATATGTACTTA